TTTTATATACTAGTACATTAGCGATAGATTATTATGTTCTCATATTTTTTTTCAAAGAGCACGAGAGCTAAACAAACTCGACGACAAAAAATACATTGCAACAATACTAATAATGGGCTAAAATTATATGAAAAGCAGCTAGCTATGGGTTTATCACTGGTGACTAAATCACAATTACATGTGTCACAGACTTCTTGTCTGGTTTCATTCTCTCTATGCTATGTTACCATTGTAGATAAATCTATAATGATATAATTGTTCTGTTTGTTATTATTAGATTTTATGGCGAATTCCATAGTTATGCAGCAGTTGGCGTTGCTGTGGAGGAGAGGACAAGAATAAAAGACTCCGTAGCTGCCCGGGGAATACATCAAGTATTATGGGAAGGAGAAACAAAACACTATGCCGATTTTGATAGCCTTCATGAAATTCGGGTAAGATCAAATAAAAGCAAATATTGGTCATCGAATTTGTCTGAAAACCATAGAGGTGGAAATCGATATTTTGTTTGCCCCCTCCAAATGAAAGCAAAGCTTTTTTGAATGACACTTTAAACAATTTTAAAATCACTGTTGACCTGAAGTTTCGCAAGTTGCAATTAGCTTGCATCAACCACATAACCAGGATTGTTTATGTGTCAAATAAAAAAGACTCAGGCATGTCAAACAAGCGTTATGCATTGTCTGGCCACTTAATTAAACTCAGTGCATGTCAGTGCATGTACACGTTATCAATTTGTGTGATCCGTCTGAGTGTTAAATCCAATAGTAGTATAATTATATTTCTTACTTGTTTTAATTGCTAACTTATTTATTTATTTTAAATTTATGATTAAATTTTAGATTCTCCCAGTGTCGCTTGAATGAGTAAAATCGAGATTCTTGGACGGCGATTATCAGAAGAAGCCAACAACGATTTTCATTTCGTTTCTTATAGTTTCTCCTATATACTCTCTATTATTTTCAGATACCTAGTAACGCACCCGGTCAAATTCACACGTTGAACAACCAATGTGTAAAGAAGGAAGAACAATCTCAAGTCAGCATTATTATCGAGGTTGGCATGAATGCAAAAACTGCCAGACTTTTAATTGAAACAATTCATGCCTATGAGAAACACGTTCCTCTGACATTATTCGTTTTCGGTGACTTCGTGGAATTGTACCCTGAACTAATCATAGAGTGGAGCAAAGTGTACGAGATTGGAATCAGAGGAAGCAGTCCCCTACCAAGGAACCTGTGGGCGTTACAAAACTATGGAATTCAGCGATTGTCCGTTGTCAGTGCCGAGATGAAATTGAGAAAATTGGGAATAACAACAGCATATATATTTCCACCTGAATTTGGAGAGACTGTCACCCTCATTGCAAAAGAGAGAAGTCTGCGAATGATTAACTCGACTGTGACACTCCCGCCAAGAAGTGGTAAGTATATAAAAGAGACCGTCACTTTGTAGCAAAACCAAATCTTTCCAAGTCACTTCGCCCTAGGTTACATCATATTACAAACTCGGCTCGCACCGCACGGTTAATTCGTATCATAGATACACTTCATTCCAAGTTGCTTCGTGCAATTATTTTTAAAACCTTTTTTCAAATTTGATTTTATTTACCGACAATAGTATCACCACGACATGCTATTATTGTGTATGGCACAGTAGTTTACTATTACTTCTTGTACATTTGACAGCTGTACATAATTAAAGTTGACATCCATTATGCATCTGTTATGGCAAATACGTCATTTGGAGAATAAACTCACTAAATGTTCAATTCAATAATAGTAACAAATGATAACAATAATTAATAAAATCAACGTAACAAACCGGGTCCCTGGCGGACAAATCAGGAAACATATACAACTTGTGGTCAGTAGTGAGAAAAAAACACGGAGTTTGATTATTTTCGGTCATTAAATTAGGTCTAGTTTACATGTTCTTAAAGACCTACTTGCAGACAGCTAATGAGTAATTTATGGAATTATAGGCAGTAGTTGTTATTAATAGTTGATATTAGTAATCATTTAAGGTAGCGAGAAGGGTTTTGTGACGTTTTTAAATAAAACATTCTCTGTCTGTGGTCTCGTTCAGAACAATAATTTAGGTTATATATATCAAAAGACTAAGTATAGAGGTGCAAGTTCGCACAAACTGGACAGTCATTGTTTACATAATTATCACGTGACATCAAAAATGGCGAACCTTGTAAAAATGACTAAGTCCGCGATTGCGAGAGCACACTGCGGAATTTCCTGGTGAAATTTACGTCATACATTGTCCATAATCATGTCCATTGAAATGCGTCTCCGATAATCAAAATACCTATTATTCCGATTTCTATGCAGGTTTGTTTTTTGTCCCCAAATTATTTCATACTTAGCACCTTTAACAGATTATTATTCTGTGACAAAGCATTTTCTTTAAAAACCCAGACATATTTCGCACCATCATTATCTTTTGAACGATAACTGCGAGTTTGAATGTCCTAGTCCGAACGCACTTGATTTGGCGGCGGTCCCAATGAGTCGTACTCGATCAAAACTTCAACTCGAGAAAAACGCGAAAAACAGTTTTGGTTAATAAAACACTATAGATTTGCTGCATTATTATAAATATACACTAAAAATGGCCAAACATATTAATCACTGATATCATAGAACTCATAAAGAGTGTCAGATAATGAATATTTTCAGGCTCGAGCAACAAGCTAA